GTGTGATTTGGGGTTCTTTAGCATGGTTGGGATCTATTTCGGGTATAGAGACTAGATCTGAGGTTGCAACTTCAGATCTAGGTTGGTTTGGAGCCATGTGATCAGAAAGTGATAGCTTTGGGGCGTGATTGAGAGTGTCCTTGCCTTAAACCTTCATTTTAGCTTGTTGGAGCCTGTTGAGCCTTGCATGCACGTAAAGTTGGAAACTTTACGTGTAATTCTAGCCCTAGGAGTCCAGATCTATGTATTGGAAGCATTGGAATGGCCTGAAATCGTCTGGATGAAGATGTCACGTCTGGACTCGGCGAGTCACATGGGTGCACTCGACGAGTTGTATGAATATGTGCATGGACTCGGTGAGTTGGAAGAGCAACTCGGCGAGTCTATTGAAGATTGCCTTGGACTCGGCGAGTCTTTTCTTGGACTCGGCGAGTATGGTCGTGAAGTCCTAACCTTTTCGGTTGACCTGTGAATCGGTGAGTCGAGGGACGACTCGGTGAGTTGAGCGAGAAAGGACTCAGATTTTATTGGACTCGGCGAGTTGAGTCGTCGATTAGGAGTTTCTGAGTATAGGGACTCGACGAGTCAGCGGGTTGACTCGGCGAGTAGAGTCTGTCAGGAAGGTTGACTTTGACTGAAGACTTTTGACTTTGATCAAGAGTTGACCAGTTCACTTCCAAGGGTATTTTGGTAATTATTTGTATTTATTGAGTTCAGTCATTTGGTATTGATCAGTGGTGGAGTTCGTGTTTGAGGTTGGAGCAGCGTGATCTTTTCCTTTCAGTCAGCAGTTGCGAGCTGAGTTATCCTCACTATATCAACAGCGTCTAAGGCACCAAGGCCGGCCCTTTATCAGATGGAAATTCGGGTAGTTGTTACGTTATTGCTTTGCTATATGTTTGCATCCTGGTAGTTAGGATGGTATATATTAGAGACCTAGTTAAGGTCGATATCCTAGTATATAGGATGATGCTATGTTAGTGACCCGTTAGGTCGGTATCCTGGTTAGGATGTTGCTATGTTATGTGATCGACTAGATCGGTTGGTTAGTGATGAATTGCTATATGATTATATGTTTATGTGCACATGGTTAGTTGATTGGGGTTGGGTTGAGGCGGGTCCTGCTTTGTGCTGTAGGTCAACATACCCAGGGTGGACCGGATATTCCGAAGGCCTAGCGGGCAGTCCGGATAGGCTGTAGGCCCCACGAGAGCAGACCAGACATGCCGAGGCTCGGAGAGTGGACCAGGCCGACTGAAGGCTCGGTGTGGGCGGACCAGTCATACTGTAGACTCAGAGAGTGGACCAGGTGGGTTGAAGGCTCGGTACGGGCGGACCAACCACACTGTAGACTCGATGTATATGGCTAGACTCGGAGGGTGGACCAGGTGGATTGAAGGCCCGGTGCGGCAGACCAGTCACACAGTAGACCCGAAGTGTATGGCTATTCTGTTATGATATGATATGTTATGTGTACGGTATATGTGGTTGGTATTTTGGGGGTATCTCACTAAGCTTTCGGGCTTACAGTTATGGTTTAATGTTTCAGGTACTTCAGGAGACCGTGGCAAGGCGAAGGCGTGATCGTACCGCTCCTCATGTTCATGTTTTATGATATGGTTCTGGGAATACTCTGATAATAAATGTATTGAAAACCTTTTTGGAATGAACTAATGAAATTGGGATGTTTTTGAAATGTTTAAATTGGTTGAAAATTTTTGGATGTTACAAAATGGCCCAACAAGGCCCAAAACCACATCTCAAGTCATGACCGGCTCTAGTCACATTATGATAGCTCACTCAATTAGATCCCAACTCATCACGACTCAACCTAGCCAACTTAGCCAAGAGAAAGTCAATGAGGTTGCCCTCATGTCGTGAGAAGCCTTATCACATCATGAGCCTCAAGCAAATAACCAGAAACGAGACCAAACGCTTCTCATGTCATGAGAACAGTCTAAGGCTAAAATCCAAGTTTTAAGTCCTTAATCCATTAAGCTTTCAATGCAAATTCTTCCAGAAGCTAACAAGGACTCCAAAGGCCAATAAGAACGATTACTTGATTGACATGCATGCCCTAAGCATCATATAACCCATCTTATGTTAAAATGACAAGAAATGTCCCTACACTCTCACAAGATTCATAAATTATAACCATAATTCAGATCCATAAGGCTAAATCACAGAGAATGACTCATTGATCCATAAAGCATGCAATCCATCATAAACATGCAAAAACGAGAATAGAACTTAGATCGAGAAATTTAAGCTCATAAGGATTGGATCTTGGACACTTACAATGGTCTAAAATGTGAACAAGATGATGATGATGATGATGATGATGATGAAACCTCCTTGTTGAACCAACACTCTAGAACTCCTCCTTCTTCTAGCCACCAAAACACTAAAATGGATTTAAAATCACCAAGATGGATTAGGGTTAGGTTTTTTCTGAGTTAGGGGAAGGTAGAGGCTGAGAAGTGAACCTTAAAATAGAGTTAAGGGGTCTTAGATACGTGGGAAACCCAAAAATTTCGTGGGCTTAGGCTGCAATGATCATCACGTCGTGAGCTCTTATTGCTCACGTCATGAGCTCGGTTCCGGATAGAATCTTCATGCGACCCTCCACACGTCATGAGCCTCCATGCCTCATGTCATGAGGACCCATTTTTCTCAAGTCCAACCTTTTGACCGTCTAAAAGCCTAATTTGATTCATCCAAAAAAACGGATGTTACATGGAGTTTCTAGTTATATGGTCTTGCTAAGGATTTGTTGGATCATCAGCAGTGAGAGAAGAATTTGTAGTGGTTTGGTTTAGTACAATAGGTTTGGAGTGGTAATGGTGACATTTATCTCAATTCCATGTAGTCTCGAGAACCCATATGTGGATGCATCAGTTTAGTGTGTGGGTTAGTGAAGTCACGAAAATGTGCGTAAGGTTGTTCTCTACATTTCTAGCCAGGGGATTTTGTGAAAAAATCAAATTTAAGTGGGGCAGAAATGAAACATTTGTTTGCGATTGTGTTTTTCCACTCTCTAATTTGGGGGTTTTATAGTCCATAAGAAACTAGAAGGATGGGGAGAAATAGAAAGTCATTTATCGTATTTATTGAAAAATAAGAAAATATGGAATTCATCATAAGAGACATAGGGTACATTTTAAAGGCGTGACACGCTTCTGGTCCAGTGGTTTGCTCGTTTTATTAGGGTTTGGGGGGTATTTAAAGGTTATTACCTCTTAGGGTTGGAACATTCTCAACCCCCATAACCTTTAGATCGTCCATTGAGAAACCTTAGCCTCTTCTTGCTTGTTTTGAGCCTTGGAATCATTTTAGGATCTTAATTTCTTCATTTGGTGGTTAAAGCATGAAAATAAATGTGTTTGTAAAGTGAGTTGAAGAGGGGTTCAAGTGTAGTTCCAGCAAGGTTACTTCATTTATGGACCATTGTGAGTATAAAGATTCAAACTTTCCCTTTAGTTCAATAGTTTTGGATTCATGTCATATTATGCACTTTTGGTCCCTTTTTGGTGGTGATCTTAGAGTTGAGATGACTCCAACACCTTTTGAGCTCCTAAGATCATTATTTGGACCTTTTGGACTTGGAAAGGTGGTATCGTGTGCATGTTCTCTAAGCCATGCAAGGTGTGTTGACATTTTAGGTCATTTTGGTGTTTAAAGTTTAGATCTTTTTGGATTAAAGTGTCTTAATGGATAAATTTGGGAACTTTAGCCATTAATACATTGTTAAGGACCGGTTCTAGAAGTCTGGGGGATTGACTTAATGGATTACGTCATTTTACCTTATGAAATAGGTCATGGTGCAACACGTCCTTCCTAGGTGCAACTGTTTTAGCCTAAGATCACGACTATTTTGTTTGTTAGTGGGCGTTGGGCATCCTTTATGGGGCGTATGGAGCCTATTTGACCGAATGTTGACTTTTGACTTCTTGACCGTGGAGTTTGACCATTAGAAGTTGACTTCTTGAACAGTTTGGCTTTTGGTAAAATTGATAGGTTTTAGGCTATAGACTAAGGTTTAGTATTTGTTTGGTTAAGTTGTTCGTGTAATTGATCTATTAGACTTTGAGTAGTGGATTTCAACTATTTGATTAGGTGAATATTCTCATTATACTATGTAGGATGTTAGGTGTTTGTTGTCTTCGTGACTCTTGCATGGTTGTTTGTATGTACGTTGGGTGAGGCCCGCTATTATGTTTATTGGTTGACACGTGTGAGCGAACCCCATTTATACGTTTATTAGGCGAGACCCGTATATATGTTTAGTGGGCGAGACCCGTTATGGTATGTGGTATCTTAGGGAATTCAGTAAGATATATGCTTACGGTTTTAAGTTTAAATGTTGCATGTCTTTTGGCATTACGAGGAAATACATGCTATTATGATTTTAAGATGTTCCGCAATTGTGAATTATTACTCTAATTTATATTATCAAATAACTGTACTTCTTACAATTTTAATGATAATGTTCCTAAATGAAATTTTTGGGTTAAAATTATGGACGTTATACCTCTGCCACCCACCGACATCACAACCGCTACCATCACTGCCACCACAACTGCTATTTCCACCACTATCGTCACTGCCACCGCCACCACCACCGCCACCTAAACCGGTACCCCTAATCCAGTCCAGTTTTCGGCTTACATTTTTAGGCGTTTCCGGTTTCGTTTTTTCGGTCTCCGGTTAGCAATAAGCCAGGGATGAAACTAGAATGATATAGAATTGTTATAATGTGATTATCACGTTGCGACTCATCATTTACACAATGTGTAAGCCTACGTTACAACCCATCTCCTCTCCATCATCTAAATTTTATGTTTTTGAACAGGTTAACATTTGAATTTGAGTTATTTGATCCCCTATTTGGATTCACTAACACACAATATCACAATTTGAGTAAAATTTGCCCAAGTTTGGGTCATGAATCTACCAAAATTTGTACCTTAGTAATTTGCTTTACTACTTTTCTAGAAACCCCATAACTATATTCATGGCTGTGTATCTGTTTTGTTTTGGATGATAACAGGTTGTGGGGGACTTGATCAATGAAGATGGATTCCATTGTCCTCTTTATATGACATAATGATATGCAACAAATTTTCTTATACATCCAAAATTCCATATTTTATAGCAAAAATAAAACTAGTAGTTCAAATTGGCATCTCCTGATTTCATTTCATCTTCTAAACAATAACTACTCTACATATACAAAAAAAATATGTTATTATACTTTAATGTGACATCATATCCAAAAGGATATGTACTTGCATATACACATACCATGGGCAAAATGGTCCAAACCAAAGTATTATTTGAAATTTGTTTTTCTACAAACTTGCAGAGATGAAAGAGGAAGATTGGTGTTGCTTTTCTTGTTGGTTAATGGTGTCAGCAACATGAGAAACTACTCCAGCTCCTGCTTTATGAAACCACTCATCTTTCACCTACAAATAAAATACAAAACAATATCATACATGAAAAAATTATACAAAAAATAAGTAAATAAATAAATAAATAAACGTACATGGATGTTGTTATGAGCAAAGAAAGGCCAAAACGAAGAGTGGAAACTGACATCAACTTTTTTCCATCCGAGCTGTTGTAATCCACAAATCATTTCCTCTAAAACAAACAAAACCACTTTTTTTAGTTTTAAAAAACGATAAATTACACAAATGGTCCCTATGGTTTGGGTTAATTTGCACACTTAGTCCCTAACTTACTTTTTTAACTCAGAAGGTCCATACTTTTTTAACCCCATCCCCTCACCTTACCTTACCTACCCCACTATTTTTCCCTATTTAAATAATTCGTTTTTTAGGTAAGACAGGGACTAAACGTGTAACAAAAACAATCAGTATGGATCTTCTGAGTAAAAAAAAATAAGTTAGGGACCAAACGCAAATTACCCCAAGCCATAGGGACCATTCATGTAATTTACTCATGATAAAATTATTATTATGGATGGATTAATACTTACCTTCCAAAATTTCGTGATATTCGAGGGTATTTTGGGGATTTGGTACATTTTGGGCAGCTTCTTTTGCCCTTGCTGCTTCAGGAGGAAAACTAGCTCCTGTAGATAAAACAGGAGGGCAATACTCCACATCCACAACATGTTTATACCCATCCAAAAATTGCAAAGGAGGCTGCCAAATTTATCGAAAAAAAAAAAATTATTTTTTTATTTTTTTACTGCGAAAAAATGATTTAAAATTTTAAACGATTCATTTTTTATTCCTTCAATTTGTTTACCTTCACAAGTTCAGATTCTCTTCTGATTGAGGATGTGCGTCGACCAACCATATCTGATGAATTATTAAGTCATAACTTTTTTCCAAATCTACCCTCGTTTGTTTTACATCAAATGTTTTTTAAATCATTTATCCACATACCAGTTTATTTAGGGGAAAAAAACATGGCTTTATTGTTTTTTACCTTAATCGATAAAGAGAAACTTAGAGAAAACTAACATTTAAGAATTTTATTTATCCAAACATAAGCAATGAGAAATGGTTTAATTTATGACAATAAAAAAAAAAAAAAAAAAAAAAAAAAAAGGATACGATCATATGAGGCATTGGCGTACAAAATACGGTGTCTAAAGGCACCAAGGGCAGACCTGTAATACAACAATATCATTAAATCAGCTTTTTCACATATGTTTTTTAAACATCACAACACGGCTTAATAGAGAAAGTCAGGAAAATAAGGTTTTTCCCATTGAGTCTTAACTTTGTGATAGAAGATTATCGAGTAATTACTAATTATTTAATTATTTAATCAAATTAGGTAGTAGTAGTAGCTATCTTTATTTAAAATTAGGATATCTATTAAAATCTTTTAGTTTAGGATAGGATTATCTCATTACAATGTGTTTAGGGTGCCACAACTAGCTTTTCAGGAGCTTTTTTTAAGAAATTCCCAAATATAACCTTAATTAATTATAAACAACATATTCTTTTAAATGTCTTTTTATGTAATTTTGTATCTTTCAGCTAGTTTTTACCAAACATCACTTTTGTTAACTAGCTTTTTAGTTATTAGCTTTATATTTCAAGCTTTTTTAAACTGTCATATTTGACAAGCCAAAAAATAGCTTACAAGCTAGTTTTTAAAAAAGTTACTTAGACTGGCTTTTCAGGAGCTTTTTTAATTTTCCAAATCTACCCTTAATTAATTATAAACACCATATTCTATTCTATTAAATGGCATTTTATATCATTCAACTAGCTTATCAGCTTGTTTTTACCAAACATCACCTTTTCAGCTAGCTGATAAGTAAGCTTATTTTTCAAGTATTTTTAAACTGTTGTGTTTGCAAGTCAAAAAATAGTTTATAAGTCAGCTTTTTAAAAAACTACTTAGACTACCTTTTCAGGACCTTTTCTAAAATATTTCAAAGATACCCATAATTAATTATAGGAAACTCATTATCCTAAATGTCCTTTTTGTCATTTTATATATTCCACCTAGCTTATCAACTAGCTTTTCAGCTATCAACTAACAACTAGCTTTTCTAAAATATTTCAAAGATACCCTTACTTAATTATAAGAATCTCATTATCCTAAATCTCCTTTTTGTTATTTTATATATTCCAGCTATTTTACCAAACATCATTTTTTCTTGATTAGTTTATAAGCTAACAGCTAGCTTTTTAGCCATCAGCTACTTTTTCAGCTATCAGCTACCTTTCCAGCTTTCAGCTAGTATCCCAAACATAGCCTTAATTAGCAAAAAAGAAAGAGAATAAGAAAAAAAAATGAGTGTTTTACTCACATATACTTCCCCTCATCACAATCTGTTGTCATTCTTAAAAGTAGAGGTGGTTTATCAGGTCTACCATCTGTAAGGAACAACTGACTACCAGTTCTTCCAACAAATATTGGAGCCATTGGAGCAGCTATTCTCTCCAAAATAGGAACACCAAGTAGAAATGGAAGCTTCATTAAAAATAAAAATAAAAAATTAAATTAATTCTAACGCTATTTTAATTGAAGATGCCATTTATTTATTTCCACACACACATGACATGATGAAAAGTCCAGTTCAGTCCTACTCCACACTCCACACTCCACATCCCAATCCAATATGTAATGAATTTGAGTTTTCTAGGGGTATTTTAGTCATTTATGTCTTTTGACCATAAAGAAAAGAAAAGAAAAACCTGTTTGTTCCCTCTGACTCCAAGATGTGGTGTTGCTAGGGTTATAAAATTAATTGCCTCCAATCCAGCAATCGTTCCATTTGGTCTTTCATAAGAGGAGGTATTATTATTATTATTATTATTACTATTTTTATTATTATTGTTATTATTATTATTATTATTATTGTTATTATTATTATTACTACAAGTATAAAGAGCAGCAACTGCGTATCTTGCAATCAAACCACCAAGTGAATGGGCTAAAAATGATATCTTCTTCAGGCTATCTGTACTTTTCACTATTTGCTTCACCTGTTCAAAAAAAAAAAAAGGTCAAATTTTCTGCTAATTTCAATTTTTTCTTATTAGTTAGTACTTTACAAAATATATTATTGTATATTCATTTTGATTTTTTAATCAGAAACAATAGGAAGAAATGGAAGTAGAATGGTATTATTAATTTATTATACATAATAAACAAATCACTGAATGTATTCTTGATTGCATAAATAATGTAAATTTAAAAATTAAAATTCATGACATCAGCAAATTGAGTACTCACTTCATCTGCTAACCGTTTTCCTGCTCCATCAATTCCAGCGAAGGTTTTGGAGTAAGTGTTAGCTGAACTTGCTGCAGACATTTTCAAATTATAAAAAAAATAACTCTATAAAGTAAAATACCAAAAGATAATTGAGAAAATGAAAAGTGTAATGAAGTCATACCATATATCAAAAAGTGTTTTCCCAAACGTCTTTTTAACTCTGCTTCTACATATCTCCAGTCACTTGGGCTGCATGATTTTGAATCAGACAGAATTGACTTTTATTGACTTTTTTTTTTATAAATACAAACTTATAGCAATGTTATTGCTATAATTGGGTAAATTATTCAAAGTAAGATTTACTAATAAGAAAAACATTGAGACTACTATGCTATAGCAATGCCTTAATAAGATAAAAAAAACAACAACAGTAGTTATGGGGAAAAAGAAAAAGATTTATCTTATATGTACCTTGCATAGATTCCATGAACAAGGACAAGAAGATGATCATGTTCTTCTTTGACAGAATTTGCAGACCTTGGAGATGTAAAGTTCCCTTGGGTTGTGCTCATAGCTTGAGCTCTAAGGCTTAGGTGTTTTATTCCTACATAATTTTACAAAAAAGAACTCAGTAGTTGAGAATGTTACATATTCATACCACATAAAACTCTCAACAAAACCACTATGTTGCAACCCTATCTTCTTCAAACAGAGGTCAAGAAACATGATCTATTCAACACTTCAGTAATTCAGTAGAGGAGCATTTCAAAAATTTGAGATGTAAATTAGGTATACAAGGAATCCGCTAGGGCTAATCTATGAATTGAACAAGTAAATGAATATTTCTTCTCAATCGCAACTCTCGAGTAATTGAAACACAAAATTTGTAACAAGTTTAGGGTAGAAAATGAAAAACAATACGAAGTATTGTTTCCTTATGATGTGATGTTTCTGGTTTTCAGACACACGTATATAAATATAGATGAGACATAAACAAACGAATCCAAGACGCACCCTTGATAATTTCTGTGAAAAGGTTTGCGACATCTTGCCTCTTGAGTAGTAAGAAGAGAAGGAAAAGCGAAGTAATAAGGAAAAAAGCCATGGAAGTTTGAAAGAATTTTGATAAAACGAGAAACAGGAAGATTTGAGGAATTTACCGAAACAGTTGGAGAAAGTCCACGAAAATCCCTGGCAACACGGCCAAGACGAAGACGAGGACGAGGAACACGTAGATGAAGAAGAAGACGACGGCGAATTCGGATTCGAATTGGAGGGCGATGAACCTAATTTACCGCTTCTTCGAAGATTAATTACGGGAGGTGTTGTGTAATGAAGCAAGGACGCCGAGGATGCCATTTGTAATTGGATGTCTGGTATCTATATATAGATACAGAAGGAAAAAGGGGGTGTCGTCAAGTCATCATCATCAATGCAATCAACCCATTAGCCATTATACTACGCTTCCCAATTACCATTCTTGGATGTTCCATCAAAGATGGAAGCTCCATGCCTACTTATTGTTATATTTTGTCTGATTCCCCCATACGCAAACAGAGGATAGAGGATTAGAGTAAAAAACTAGGGTATGTGACGGATGATTCAAAAAGTAATTCAAGCGAGCCTAAGATATAACTAAAAAAAATATCGTGATATTAAAAAGAAAAGTGATTCGCATTTTAATTTATTATACAAGAGATTTTATAAGGGATAATGTGAGTAAGATACTTGATATATATATATATATATATATATATATATATATATATATATATATATATATATATATATATATATATATATATATATATATATATATATATATATATGTTCAGGTTCATTTGAGATCATTCTAATTTTATTAGATCAAATCTAAAAATAATTTTAAAATGCAAAATAAATGGAAAAATACAAAAATTCTTTTTTTAAATATTATTTTCGGAACTTGAATTAACTAAAAAAAATATAAAAAAATTAAAAAAAAAATTCCATTTTTTTTTTGGAAAAATACGTGAAATATTTTAAATAGAATATTACACTGACATATTCTAAAAAATAATTTTAAAATGCAAAATAAATGGAAAATCTAAAAATTCTTTTTTTAAATATTATTTTCGGAACTTGAATTAAATAAAAAAAATTAAAAAAAAATCCTTTTTTAAAAAAAAATACGTGAAATATTCTAAATAGAATATTACACTGTACATATTCTAAAACTAATTTTAAAATGCAAAATAAATGGAAAATTTAAAAAAATCTTTTTTTAAATATTATTTTCGGAACATGAATTAATTAAAAAAAATATAAAAAATAAAAATAATAATAAAAAAAATAAAAAAATGCGTCTCACGGTCTCACAAAATATAAGTGGTCTCAAATGAACCTAACCCTATATATATATATATATATATATATATATATATATATATATATATATATATATATATATATAACTTTTTTAAAAAAAACTAAACTCTTATACTTTATTTTTTGTAACAATGCAGTCCTTGTGACCGGTTATACCCGGTATACCGGTCATATACGAATTTTCTTTTAGGGAAAATGACTTGATAGGGTAAGATACTTTTTAAAATGTACACATTTAATATTTATTCTTTTTTTTTAAAAAGACAAAACTGCACAAATGGTTCCTGTGGTTAGCTCAAAATTGCCACTTTGGTTCAAAAAAAGTTTGAACTAGTACCAGAGGTCCAAAGTTTTCATTTTGTTGCGAGTTTGGTCCAATTTGTTTTGAAGTTTTTTATAATGACCATTTTACCCTTACTTTTTTCTTTTTCAGTTTTTTTTATTTAATTAAATGCTTTATTGATTAAAAGAAAAAGAAAAAAGAAAATTTACCCTTTTTATTCTATTTTTATAATTATTTTAACAGAAAGAGAAAAATACCCTTTCTCTCTCTCACATTCATAAACACTTAAGAACATTTTCACACACATTCACCATTATCTACCACACCACCGTCGGCCACCTGTATTTGCCACCACTACAACCGCTAACCACTACAATCCACCACCATCGGACATGGCACCACCGTCAGAAAACCCACCACTGACCACTAGTCACTAGAACACCTCTCGAGTTGTCATCATCGAAGTCACCACAAACGGAGATTTGGAACATCGTCGGCTTCGTCTTGCTCATTCTCCGACGATGTTGATGACCCAGAGTTGCTCCTTCTCCGACAACTATTGGAACAATAGAGCAGTCACCATTGGAATGCCACTGGAAACCATCTCAGATCTATAAAGAAAAAGACGAAAAAGTGTAGATCATCTCTGGAAGCAGCGTAGCTTGCCACCCTAGCTTCGACTTTCTCCCTTTTTAAGATCTATGACGCCCCCTTTCTCAGTCGACGTCGCCAAGGTTTGCAGATTGAGTCATCGCCACCATCCATCTTCTCCTGTAGCGTCGCCATTCCATAGCCTCATCGTCACCTCGAGATAGATCGACAGATCTGTAAAGGGTTTCAACATCTTGTATGGTTTTCTGACGGTGGTGGTCTTCCAGGAAGAGACCGGTGAAAAGGGTTTCAATATCTGGTAAGTTTTTTCCGGAGATCCAAACTTTTCTGACGACGATGGTGTTCCAGGAAGAGAACGGTAGTGAGTAGTGGTTCAGATCTATGTCGCCAGGTATTCTGATCTACGTTTCCAGTGGTGACTAGGATATGACGACAAGCAGTTGTGGTCTGACAAACGATGGTCCGTCAAGTGGTGGTGGTTCGACGGCGGTGGTCAGCAGGAGGTGCTGGTCCGACAGTAAGAGGGAGAGAGAGGGAGAGAAAGAGAAGGATAGGGGGGAGAGAGAGAGAGAGAGAGATGATGTTAGTGTTTCTTGATGTATGTAGGTGGGGTAGCATGAGTTTGTATATTTTTTTTATATATAATTTTAAATCACAAATACAATAAAATTATAAAAGAAATAGAAAAAGAAATTAGTAAGGGCAAATTTGTCATTTGAAAAAAGTTCAAAGCAAATTGGACCAAACTCGCAACAAAATAAAAAGTTTGGACCTCTGGTGCTAGTCCAAACCTTTTTGGACCAAAGTGGCAATTTTGAGCTAACCACAGGGACCTTGATAATTTATGTGAAAAGGTTTGCGACATCTTGCCTCTTGAGTAATAACAAAAGAAGGAAAAGAGAAGTAATAAGGAAAAAAGCCATGGAAGTTTGAAAGAATTTAGATAAAACGAGAAACAGAAAGATTTCAGGAATTTACCGAAACAGTTGGAGAAAGTCCAGGAAAATCCTTGGCAACACGGCCAAGACGAAGATGAGGACGAGGAACACGTAGATGAAGAAGAAGACGACGGCGAATTCGGATTTGAATTGGAGGGCGATGAACCTAATTTACCGCTTCTTCGAAGATTAATTACGGGAGGTGTTGTGTAATGAAGCAAGGACGCCGAGGATGCCATTTGTAATTGGATGTCTGGTATCTATATATAGATATAGAAGGAAAAAGGGGTTGTCGTCAAGTCATCATCATTAATGCAATCAACCCATTAGCCATTATACTACGCTTCCCAATTACCATTCTTGGATGTTCCATCAAAGATGGAAGCTTCATGCCTACTTATTGTTATATTTTGTCTGATTACCCCATACGCAAACAGAGGATAGAGGATTAGAGTAAAAAACTAGGGTATGTGACGGATGATTCAAAAAGTAATTCAAGCGAGCCTAAGATATAACTAAAAAATATATTGTGATATTAAAAAGAAAAGCGATTTTCATTTTAAATTGTTATGCAAGAGGGATAATGATTTGATAGGGTAAGATTTATATATTTAATTTTGTTTTTTTTAATAAAATAAACGTTTATACTTTATTTTTTATAACAATGCAGTCCATGTGACCGGTTATACCCGGTATACCAGTCATATAAGAATTTTCTTTTAGGAAAAATGACTTGATAGGGTAAGATACTTTTTGAAATGTACACATTTAGTAATTATTCTTTTTTTTTTTTGTAAAATAAACCCTTATACTTTATTAATATGTACACATTAAGTTCTTTTTACCGGATTCTACAGGTTTTTGCTAATGTGGAAGCACAAGTGGCACTAAATAGCAATTAATTAGCTTAGTCGCCGGAGGTGGGTGATCCTCCAGCAACAAGAAAAGGGCGGCGAACCTTCTCTTTCTCGTCTCTCTTCCTTCCGGTCGTACAACAACAGCCAAACACCCTTTACCTGTTGTGTTTCTCCGATCTGTCTCTCTTTGCGTCCATCTTTGAGATATGTTGCCAGAAAAAGAAGAAAGAATCGACGAGGGGGCTACCAGAGCAGCTCCTCACAGCCAACTATTGTCTCTACTTCCTCCTGCCTCCCCCTTCGACCTTGTTGTTTTTGCCATCATTCCTCATTGCTACCAGTGATGTGTAGGAACACACAAAGGAGTCGCCAGAGATCGGGGTTCTCCCTCTTTTTCATGATGAATAAAAGTTGGAAAAATCTCGTTATGGATATGTGGATGCCACCTGGGTATTTCATTTCAACAAAATAAAAGAAAGGGAAAATGACTTGATAGGGTAAGAGACTTTTTCAAATGTACACATTTAGTCCTTATTTTTTTTGTAAAATAAACCCTTCCACGTCAGCAAAACCTGTAGAATCCGGTCAAAATGACCTAATGTGTACATATTAATAAAGTATAAGGGTTTATTTTACAAGAAAAAAGAATAAGGACTAAATGTGTACATTTCAAAAAGTATCTTACGTTATCAAGTCATTATCCCTATTTGTTATTGTAGACTTTTCAGACCTTTCATATTATGGGCGTATTGGTATTTATTTTTGGGTAATACAACTTATTATTCAGGAAATTAACTATTCGCTTTGTTTACATCTGGGTAATTTGTCACACCCCGTAACCAAGGATGGCGGAAACATCCGGGGTTTAAGGACTTCATGTAGAGTATCACAACAATGAGTATAATAGTGTTCAAAGTAAATACAACCATCACAAATATAATTGAAAACGTTACATCAAAGCACATGTTTACATGATTCACATCAATTACATTATGATACAAAATGAACTGTTTGACGATTTATCGTCCCATCCTCAAAACGTTGTTGATTTCCTATTTTCACTGAAATCCTGAGAATACAAGTAGTTTTGAAAAGTGTCAACACAAAGGTTGGTGAGTTCATAAGAGATTTCGTTAGAAAAGTAAACCGTTTTCCTTGTAAAAGCGTTAGAATATGTATCCAGAAAATCCGATATTTTCTTTAAAATCTGTGTAATGTAGTCTTATGACCGAAGACCAAAATGTATAAGTAACCTTTCTTACTAATAGAAAATGTTATGTGTTTAAATGGACATGGACGCGTTTGAATTAAATGAAATTTCCGTATGTTCTCATGTTTGTTAATACTTTATGTATATGTAGTCCTAAATCTGAGGACCGAGAAAGAACAAGTATTGACTATACTTAAAGGTATAAATGTGGTTTCAAATGATGTGTAGTCATAATTACCAAAACCAAAAGTGTACAGTAATATCTCTACTCATTGAGATAAAAAGTGATTTTAAATCGACATAAAACTCATTTAGGTTTTATAAATAAAATCCCGTAAACTTTATGGATTGTTAAATCCCTATGTGAGTCGCTATAATCATACTATGACTATGTGAACCTGCCACGACGTTTCTCAGGCATCGCGAAAACTGAAATGACATTTGTCACCCGTAGACCTGCAGGTCCCACTATAGCTAGCAGTAAGGTGTGGGGTGTCAAACCCAATATAGATCTATATACAAGTATCACGTTCCCCCTCAAGGAGATTCTGATTATAACTACCAGGAATTATATCCCGCACTCAGACGTACGGGGAGAGAATGTCTCACAATATAGGTTAACAAGTTTACGTGAAATGCGTGTGAATATAAATCTTTTCTGTATGAATGTACCCTTTCTGTACGACTGTGTTGTGTGATGTATCATAAACTATACCTATTATAGTTTATCTAAAACGTTTGTAATATGTATGTACTCTTTTATGGAAATGCATTAGTGTTATGAATTTATTAAACTATACTTTTTATAGTTTAATATACGTGTTCTAAAATGAATGAATAATATTTATTAGGAATGACTTAGTTTCAGTTCATGATGATAAACTAACAAAGAAACACATTCAATAATTAGAACTTATGATTATACACTTTGCTCAACATAATACAAAGTGTTATGATATTTACATGCTGTTGGCTAACTTTAGCCATTCTGCACTGTTTTGGGAAAATCATAGAAAAATCATACGAAGTCGAAAACTAGATCCGTAAATTCTGAGAGTTCAAAAAATGTGTCTAGTTTACTCATAATTTTTATCACGATTTTTAATGACCTCCAACTTGGGTGAAAAAGTCCATAATCACAGACTAGTCCAGATTGTTGTTTGAAATGATAGGCAGTTTTGTAAAAATCACCATAAATTGTAGAAAAATCATATGGAGATGTGCAAGTAGTCATTTTAAAGCTAAGAACTTGAACTATTTGCAACTTGTACAGTTTTGAAAACAAAAATGTTTAAGATGCCCAAAACAGTCCGTGAATGGAGTTGAAATTTTCTGATGAAGGCTGTTAGAAAATTTTAGTTATGTTCTTGGTGTTTTAACTTGTCTTCCCCCCTGAAAACTTGAGAAAAAATGAAAATGTAGGGGTATGAACTCACATTGAGTGATTTCAGTAGATAAGTGTTGAAGAAGAGAAGTGTTCAACCCAAGAACACTTGAAGAATCACTTGAAGATTCGAAGCTCTGACACAATTATGATGGAGTTTGTGTAAGATATCCATGATTTGAGTATAAGAAGTGAACTAATCATAAGGAGAATGGATTATGCTTACCAAATGTGGAGGAAAAACCGAAGATCAGCCCTTGAATCTCGAATTTCTAGAGAGAGAAAGTGAGAGAGGAAAGAGTTTGATCTTCTTGGTGAAATAAGAGCAAATGAGAGAAGTGAGGGAGAGAGGATGAATATTCAGCTCTAAAAAACGTGGGAAAGAGTGATAATTAAGTGGAAAGGACATTGATGTGACCTAGGTAAGGTGGGGAGGTGTGGCTGGTCATAGAGTGGGTGTGGGAGTGGTTGCTTGTGTCATAAGGTAAAGCAAAGTCAACACTCCACCTCTTTGTACTTTACCCATTAACTTTTATTATTTAAATAAAGATTTTTATGAAAATATGATTAAATTGTGAATATTTAGAGTTTATTATGTTAAAATATGATTTTGGGTGAAAATCCCACGTTAAAATAATTAAAAACGGGCCTTAAACGCAAAACTACGCGAAAACCAGGAAGAAAAGCATTCCCAGCGCGACCTCTCGGTCCTTGCTAGGGGCTGTAGCCGGAAACAAAACGAACAGAGGGAAACGAAGGGGGCAAGGAAGCGAAGGGAGGCGAACCGGAAGCGAGAGGCGAAGGCGAGGGGGTTCGGTCCGGAGATAAGAGGCGAACGTGTCTGACCGAAATGAGCCGAATAAACAGTGGTGAACAGTGCCTTCGGGTTCGGGTGGTGCGCGAGGTTCGGTTCCTCCTAGCTCGGGTTCGGTTCTTCCTTGCTCAGGTCCGGTTCCTCCTTGCTCTCGGGTTCGGCCCTTCTTGCTCTCGGTCCCTAAGAGGACCTTCGGGTCCTAAGAGGCTTCTCTTCTTATAATGAGGTTTCGGTTCCTAAGGTCCATTTTTCTCGTTTTTACCCCGTTTTAAGCCGTTTTTGACCCGGTTAAGGGTCGGAATGACCCGAATGATTCTAAAAAGTTACGGGAAACTTTTGAGAGAGATTTGGGAGAGATTTCACATACTTGGAGAGATTTGGGAGAGATTTGACGTTCTTGGAGAGATTTCTCATACAGAGAGATATTTGAGAGAGATTTCACATACTTGGAGAGATTTGGGAGAGATTTCACATACTTAGAGAGATTTCTCATACAAAGAGAGTTTTGGGAGAGGTTTCACATACTTAGAGAGATTTGGGAGAGATTTCACATACTTAGAGAGATTTCTCATACAAAGAGAGTTTTGGGAGAGGTTTCACATACTTAGAGAGATTTCAAATAAAGAGAGATAGAGTGAAAACGATTGAGAGAGGTTTCAAGTATGGCATTTGTGAGTGTCCGGCTTCACAATGCAAGGTCCGTAAACACTGTTAAGCCTAGTTTAAGGATCTTACACACTCCCGATGAATATGCAACATTGTTTTATCGATTTGGCTCGCCACGTACCACAGTTTTAGGTTAAGGAGATCTAGATGTTCGCACTTTTTGATTTATGATCTCTCATTAGAATAGAGAGTTGTGTAGAAATTTCATAATGTAAATTCTAGTACCCAAGGGCAAATTGAGTCAAACGGTTTGACTTGTTGACTTTATTTGACTTTGACTTGACCGAAATTTGATAGTTGTCACATAA